GGGAGGAATGATGTAATCACAGTATAAATGACACCAATCCTGGTGCTGCTGCTTTCAGGTATTGGGTGTATGAGGACAGGTCTGCTATTAAATACTTGAGAAACAGTTTGGTTTGACAATAAGTTTGGTTCTAAATTAAGAGTGTAAAAATATTTGGCTGAACTTCTACTACATTTAGAACTAATGCAGGGCAAAGGAAAAATAAATGCATGACGGTAAGTCTTATTAATGTGCACCGCTGTATACAACACTATAGCACCACAGATGTACATTATGATAACCGCATTAAACAGTAAGAACTAATGGGGAAACAAATGAAGAACTTAAACACTTTGTCATTATATTTTTTGACCAAATACAGTATAACCCTCTGACTGTGAAACATAAAACAGGTTCACAGATTTTTCTCAAAGTTGTTTTGGAAAATAAAAACCCTCTAAAATGAACTTTGAAATCATTAAACAATAGTTGAATTGTCCATTTCAGAAAGGATTTTAGAGGACAGATCTTTTCATAGATGCTAACGGGAACAACANGTTTTTTACTTCTGGGAATGATCCAACTCTAGGACATATTAACACTCAGTTTATATTACTTTTTGTAGACCTTGAACCTAATTCTTCACATTTTAAGACATGTGTTTTATAGGTTTTTTTATATATATATATATATATATATATATAAAAAAAAATGGGGTGATTGGTGAATTTCACCTCTTCAAAAAACTCTACAATTAAAGGTGTGTTTGTCTTTTCTCATCTGATAGCCTGTTATTTAAACCAGAAGTTAAAAACATTGTGCTCAACCAAAGACAAAAGGGGGTAGCTGGTGTGCATATTTTCAAAGTCAAAGTACAATGTATGCATTTTCATCTGTGCTCATATGTGACACTTTAAATAAAAAAGGAAATATCTGGTTGATTTGTGCGTTCTAACTTTTTTTGTGCTTTGGCATTATTCAAACAACCAATTCCATTTCCTTTCCTCAAACCTCAACCTCATAAAAGACCATGTAACCTGCTCACACAACCACCTGTAGACAATGGGGGGGAGGAATGATGTAATCACAGTATAAATGACACCAATCCTGGTGCTGCTGCTTTCAGGTATTGGGTGTATGAGGACAGGTCTGCTATTAAATACTTGAGAAACAGTTTGGTTTGACAATAAGTTTGGTTCTAAATTAAGAGTGTAAAAATATTTGGCTGAACTTCTACTACATTTAGAACTAATGCAGGGCAAAGGAAAAATAAATGCATGACGGTAAGTCTTATTAATGTGCACCGCTGTATACAACACTATAGCACCACAGATGTACATTATGATAACCGCATTAAACAGTAAGAACTAATGGGGAAACAAATGAAGAACTTAAACACTTTGTCATTATATTTTTTGACCAAATACAGTATAACCCTCTGACTGTGAAACATAAAACAGGTTCACAGATTTTTCTCAAAGTTGTTTTGGAAAATAAAAACCCTCTAAAATGAACTTTGAAATCATTAAACAATAGTTGAATTGTCCATTTCAGAAAGGATTTTAGAGGACAGATCTTTTCATAGATGCTAACGGGAACAACAAGTTACTGTACCAGCAGCTACAGGTTATACCAATATAAATAAAGACCTGACATCAGCCTCTGTAGAAAACTTCTGCCCAGCTACCTGTAGCAGGACGCTTTCAGAGCACCATGACAAAACAACTCTAAGGGTTGTGTTGGGGCAAGTCGCTATGAGCTACAGGCAATAGGGGATCAAATATTAAGCAGGAAGTCAAGTTTTATAATATGAAGACTGTACAATTCACCTTAATGCCTGTGAGTTTAACATTAAATTAGCACAATACAAAAGAGACGGACTACAAGGTAATCAAACTGGCGTGTGCTTGTAGTTATTCAACACGGTGCGTTGCCAGGTCACATGGCTATGTAACACAGAAAAATTAAACCCAGCCCAAACTTATGTTTGCTGAAGCCTCCTGCAGCTGTATCAAAGTGCCGCTACTGGAAGAGTTTCAGTGTCCTGTGATGGACTAAATGATGTTTCATGGGTTTTAGATGTAAATAGAAAAATCAAATCTAGGGAAATTAGAATCAAATCTATATCACTACAAAATATCAGCTACCAGAAATGCAAATCAAATGTCAATTTCAAAATGTTGTTTTATATACTGTCCCTCCAATAGTAAATCTACACTTAAACATACTGTACAGCAACAACAGGTAGCTGCAGTACCCTCTAGTTGTTGAAATTTTCAAGCAAAGTCCCCTCTGGCCACACCCCAATCAGTGATGTCACAGCAGGAACTTTAACATAACATGTTAGTTTCAACAGTTGTGTTTGCTGCCTGTGACATCATGAAGTTATTAGAGTACCTGCTTTGCATTAATATCCATTTACACAACATGGTGTCACAGCCAGCAGTCATTCAGTGCTGTAATGTCAGCCTGCCGATCAGGGAATGATTTTCTGTCCATTACCCAGAATTCACCAGGAGCCTAAGGCAAGTTTAGCAGAGCCCCTGTCCTTTACAGGTAGTGGGAATCTAAAAAAAAAAAAAAGATTGGCTTGCTGATTCACTCAGACTGTGACTTTAACTATTCCAAAAACCTTTGATGAACAAGTGATGCGGTGATTAAGAATATCTGATGGTGCTCTGCGTTTGAGTGGTGTCATTTTCTAACAACTAACCAACTAATCTTAGTAGCCACTCTTTTGAACTGCACCCCACCCATAAAACATAATCCAGACTTGTCATGTCGCAAAATTTACCATTGTGCCTCAGTGTAAAAAAACATCATGATAATCAAAAGTAAATGACAAAGATGCCACATGCTGCCTATCAGTTCATTCAGAGTATTCAGACACCTTCACTTTTTTCACATTTTGTTATGTTGCAGTTTTATGCTAAAAATCACTCAAATTCATTCATTCCCCTCATCAATATAAACTCAATACCCCATTATGAAAAAGTGAAAACAGATAATTAAAAATAGGACAAACTGAAATATCACATTGACATAAGTATTCAGACTTTTTCCTCAGTACTTAGTTGAAGCACCTTTGGCAGCGATTACAGCCTCAAGTCTTCTTGGGAATGCCTCAACAAGCTTTGCTCACCCGGATTTGGGGATTTTCTTCCATTCTTTTCTGCAGATCCTCTCAGGCTCTGTGAGGCTGGATGGGACCGACAGTGGACAGACATTTTCAGGTCTCTCCAGAGGTGTTGGATTGGGTTCAAGTCAGGGCTCTGGCTGGGCCAGACATTCACAGAGTTGACCCTGAGCAACTCCTGCATTGTCTTAGCTGTATACTATGGGTCATTGTCCTGTTGGATGGTGAATCTTCAGCCCAGTCTGAGGTCCTGGGTGCTCTGTACTTCACTCCATTCACTTTTCCCTCAACCCTGACCAGTCTCCCTGTCCCTGCTGCTGAAGACCCACCACCATGCTTTACAACTGGGATAGTATTCAGGTGATGAGCTGTGCCTAGTTTCCTCCAGATATGACACTCAGAAATGAGGTCAAACATTTCAATATTGGTTTCATCAGACCAGAGAATCTAGTTTCTCACAGTCTCAGTACTTTGGCTGCTTTTTTACAAACTGCAGTAATGGTTGTCGTTCTGGACATTTCTCGCATCCCCACACAGGATCTCTGGAGCTCAACCAGAGTGACCATCGGGTTCTTGGTCACCTCTTACCAAGTCCCTTCTCCCTGACTGCTCTAGGCAGAGAGAGTCATGTAAGAATTATGGAGGATCTGAGCCTCACCACAATCCTGTCTCTGAGCTCTGCAGCAGTTCCTTTCTCCTCATGTCTTGGTTTTCGCTCCAATATGCAAGGACAGCTGTGAGACCTTGTATAGACAGGTGTGCGTCTTTCCACGTCATGTCTAAATCAGCCGATTCTACCACAGGTGGAATCCAGTCAAGGTGTAGAAACATCTCAAAGATGATTGAGAAATGGGAGGAACCTGAGCTAGATTTAAAGTGACAACAACGTGTCTGAATACTTATGTCAATGTGATATATTAGTGCTTCCTTTATAAATTTGCAAAAAAAAAAAAAAAAAAACAACATCTGAAATTTTGTATTCACTTTGTCATTATGGGATACCGAGTGTAGATTAATAAGGGAAAATGAATTTAAAACTATTTTGGCACAAGACTGCAACATAAAAAAAAAAAAAAATGTGAAAAAAGTGAGGGTGTGTGAAGACTTTCTGAATGCACTGCAAGTTTGCATCTCTCCTACTCCCAGCATGTTGTGCAGCACTAATTTTTGGAAAAGATCAAACCTCCACACATTTCATTCGTGTTCACCAGAAATTGAGCAATTCAGTTTTGAGCTGAAAGAAGCACTAAATAAGATCTGAAGGGATAACTAAAACACTGACTGCTGAAGTGACATATTAAAAGAGCTGTGACCCAATAAACAAAGCCTGTGGACTGGAACCGGAAAACTACAGTAAGACAGATATAGGATGCATGGTTAAAATAAACAAAATCAGACTGCAACAAATGTAGGCTACAGCCTCTGTTTGGCTCAAACCTACACACCTAAAATACAACACTGCTATGAATATCCATTCTGACAGAGTTAACACCTTGTTTGCTCATGACTAGTGGAAATTTCTGCTTATTTTAAAGTGAGAGTCGCACCTGTTCTCACGTCAGACTCTGAAACAAGAAGTTGAAATGAGTCAAAATAAGGCTGGTTACTTAGAGAAATAAAATACATCCAAGAGAAATAAAAGACATCAATATAATTCAAACAAAATGACCTGTTGAAAAGAAGTGATCCCACACCATCTCTCACATTTTTAGAGGAATGCAAGTTCTTGAGACTTTGCCAACTTATAAATGACTTACTTTACTCTCTCTGGAGGATTTGTGGATAAAAATCACTTGTTGAGATGTGCGTTTCTGTGTAAAGAAGGTGTAAAGTGGGGGTTATTGTGTGCGTTTGGTGAGCCCCATACGCAGCGGTGCGCCCTTACCCTCGCCGCCCTAGAGGAGTAGGGATCCTCGAATAGATTCCAGATCACCGGCTGCCACTTCCTCCACAGGCTCACATTACCGTCGGCAGCCACATCCTCAATGCCGAGCCTCTTCCCGATCTCGTCGTCCTCCTCCCCGTTGTCCACGTTGAGCTCGAACACGTCCAGAGCCTCCTCCGCGTCCCGGTGCTGCCGGTATGTCATCCAGCAGCAGGGCTCCACGTCCGTCTCATCGATTCCCCAGAAGGAGAGCTCCTCCTCGAACAGCGGTCCGCACACATCGGCCGGGCAGTGGAGCTTCCCGGTCCGGTAGTAGTTGAGCACATAGGCGAACACACCCGGGTGGCGGTCGAAGAAGTACTCGTTGGTTCGCGCGTTGTACTCGATGAAGCCGGGGACTTGTTGCAGCTGATCCAGCACGGAGTCGATGTCCGAGTCGGAGGCGAGCAGCGCCAGTCGCGTCCCCGGCAGGGTCTTCAGGGTGGTTTTGTAGGTTTCGTGCCTGGTGCCCCCGACGTTGAGGATTATCCTCTCGTTGTCGTCAAACTTGCCCATTGCTCTGTATCAGACATGACTTGATGGAAAGCGGGGGAAGTTGGCGAGTGCAGTCCGGAGGTAACGGCGAGCCCGACGCGCACACACCCACAGTCCTGTTCAAAAAAGCTCCAGGATTTTGGCCGTAGTGCGCAGCATCTTCGATTTCACTCATCCGTCGCTTTCGTGGTTTTGTGGGGGGCCGAGGAGGATGTCCATCGTTTGTTTGGGAAGATTTTTGGGTCGTCGATCTGTATCCCTCAATCCGCTCAGACACTCAGTGCTCTCGGAGTGTTGAATGATCTCAACCGGTGGCTCCAAATAGACTGCGCTGCTGCTGCCGTTGCGCGTCTCCGGCGTCCCTGCCCTCTCCAAGACGCACAACCGCTCGTCAGCTCGTCGGGCTCGTTACTCACAATATGCAACCATCGCGATTCCTCTCAAACAAAAAGTAATGTCGGCTCTCTGACCATCACTAGCTGGGAAGAGTCAGACATTACATGGATGCTGCTTTGTCGTTTCTTTGCTTTAGGGGGAAAAAAATAAATAAAAAATAAAAAAAAATCAGAGGAAGTTATCTTCAGGGAAATTAACCAGCGCTCTTCTCTAGTGCTGCTGTCACGATAAAACAAACTGGCGGGGAAATTTCCATCCGGAATAAGGACGTTATCTCGTTTTAACCCGATTTAATTAACTACAACAATCACAAACACTACAATAACCGATTTAAGTGCTGCAGAATTGAACAAATAATTTAACAACTCTAGAAATTAAAAGCAGTGACACCAACAAAAACAATTCTCTCTTATTGGGATATAAGCCTTCCATCCTTCAACAGGTCAAGTAGCTTCCAGCACCCTCCGTCTGTTTACATCATTATGAAATTACAGGTTTAATTTGATTAATTTATTCTTATCTATGGAATGAGTTTTGAGCCTGAACATCCTCCTTCCTCCTGCGCAATAACATGAATTATGTGTATACATGACTAAAACCGAGGCTTAATTACAGTGACTCATTTGGCAGAAGCTTTTATCCTATCCAAAGCACCACAAATGAACTCCAGTAATTCTTTGCTATAATAATTCTACGCTGTTGAGGTGACCTTAAACAGGACACTTAACCAGACATACACACATATATGCAGTATAAACGTGTGTGTGTGTGTCTGACCCTCTGATTTTACTGGGCAACAGTAGTATTAGTGGTGTTAATAGAGTTGCACAAGTTGTGGTATAGGCTCACATTAACTGGATTTGACATTAGGGAGCTGCACTAGTGAAACAACAGCTGGCATGTTGATTTCAGTAGAGTAATAGAGAGAGAAGTGGCGGGTTATAAAGACAATGCTATACAGCTGCATGAAAATGAATGTTCCAGTCAGCTGGTGGCCAAACAGATTGTGCCTGAGCCACTGGAGGTGAAACATGAATGAAGTTGTTGGTGCCAGCCAGCTGATGCAAGCACAACTTCAGCGCTCTGCCTGAATTAATGCAGTGCTTCATAAATACTCAGTAGTGCAAAGAATAATAGAGGCCATAGTAACAGGTACATCAATTACACTGCCAGGCTGTTAACTAAAAGCCATCAGTCCCACATTAACCATGCTCTTTGTTCTTGCATCCCTCCATTGGCTTCCTGTAAAATTATGAATACACTACAAGATCCTGTTGATTACATATTTACATTTACTCCTGTGGTAGATGCTTTTATCCACAGTGACTTACTAGTGAGGGACAACACTACAGCTTCAGTGCAGTAGGAGACCTAAAGGTGCTGCATGACCTCGCCCGCTGTTACATTCCTGATCTCCTCATCCCACTTCTCAAGCACGCCCAAAATCTCTTGCTTTTATCCATCCCTGAATACTCACGGACTTTCTTAGGAATAAAGGCAGGCAGTATTAGTACCAGTAGAAGTAGTAGTGCAGGTAATAGAGGCAGTAGCATTACCAGTAATAGTAGCATGTGTAGAGGTAATTGTAAAGCCAGTGGCATAAGTGGTAAAGTCAGTGCTCAAAATAGTAGCAGAGACAGTTGTAGTAGAATTAGATGTAGAGGCCATAGTGTTAGTAGCAGCATTAGTGGAGGCCTGGTTATCGTGTCAGTGGCGGGAGGATAATTATCATGAGTTAACACTGATGAGAAGTTGTTAAAGCATTGATGGAGCAGACTATACCTGTGTTTATGTTCTTCTCTACTCCTTTAGAATAATGCTGTTTACATAATGTATTCATGGAGTGTTTGCATCGAGTGGTCTACATCAGTGACACAACCACGGTTCATTCTCAACAGCGCTGAAGAGAAACTACGAGCAGAGATGCAGCTGTCTACCAGCAGGCACGTCATCTGACAGTCTCCACTCTCCACAGCGTACGAGGAGGAGAGAGTGACATCTTTAGGGAATCTAAGCACAGCTCAATCAGAGAGGAGACACGGCAGGCAGCCCGCTTATAATTACATGCATCATTATTCCTCGATTTAAGGCTGCTTTGTAAAACTGCAACCTCTGAGTAACCTAATTACTCATTTCCCGTCTTGATCAAATTTGTTAAAAGGCGGCATTTTTTTTTTAAGTTTTTTTTTTTTTTTTGAGTTTTACAATTGGTAAATGAACAACAACAACCTATTAACTCACTTTTACATCTTACACACCCAACTTCCTCAGCACTGTCCAGCTGTGACAATTATACTTTTGGAGAGCATGGGTTTGAAACTATAAGAATATTCATGGTTCTGTCTTGAAATCTTGATAAAGGACTTGAAAACACACTCACCAATAAATAGATTCCGATGCCATTTTTTACTTCCCGTTACCTGAACATGTGTGTTGGCCAAAACTGACTGACCCCGCATAGATGTGGTGTGATTACCATCACTGTTGTCTGGCATGGCTCAGGTTAAACCCTTTGTAAAACATGAACACATACCTGAATGCCACAGAATCTCTTTATCTAATTTGACCATCACTCAAAAAAATAAAATAAAAGCTTTAAATACATTACACAGTTTGTTTTGTTTTTTTTACACTGGTGGGACTTTCCAGCGTAAAAATGTTGCCAAATTACTGATTGCCGTTACACTCTTTACCAGAAATCACTTCTTCTGCTCTAAAACAGTAGTTGCCAGTGGCTGCACAGCACAACGCCCTATGTAGGCTATTGTGTTACAGCAAAAGCAATTACCTAATGGAAAAATAAACAAACCAACAAAAAAGGAAATATGCTCAATAGATGGACTTAAGTGTATACAACACTATTTGTTTCACGATTTTCAGCACCCAATATGTGCTTGTCATGAAAAGACATTTATGTCATAAAATGCAAAACACAAAGTAGGATTATAATTTCCCAAGATGTATTATCTTTGCAATCTGTAGACATTTCTGTTTCGTCTTCCTTTGTCAATTATTTAAATATCTTTTCTGTAAATTTGTGACTTAGTCGGGTCGACTGCAGGTCTAGCATAGTTCAAGAGAAGGGGAGGGGTGGCTGTTAAGAGCTGAATTAGTATTGAATTACAAGCTATTATTAAAACAGTGAGGGATATGCGAAAGATGAGCTCATGGAGCATCGACTACAATCTGCTGAAACAAATTATATCTTGGTACAACAGCATCAAACCTGGTGGGTTTTTTTCTAAATTAAAATCTCAATATTTTCAGTGCAGTTAAGTATGAAACAACAACGATGAAAAAATGAAAATTGTTTTATTTTTACCCTAACATAAATTTCCATGTTATGGTAAAAATAAAACAATTTGCAAGTCAAGAATTTGATTTATTGAGTCAGTTATGGCTTATTATATCAAAATACTAAAATACTAAGTCAGAGCTTTCACAGAATTTTGACTTAGCATGAGAATTTTGAGCATGCATACTTTTTCATCCATTTTCTTCTTCTTTCTTGGAGGAAAAGCATTTCCACAGTTAAAGCCAAAGCCTCACACTATAAGAGTGATGCAAAAAAATAAAAGCAGCAGCAGAAGCATGATTGCCTATGCACCTGGTAGTGTGCTCTGTTCCCTGAGGGAACTGCTACTGATCCCCTGAGAAACTTTAACATTTTGTTTCTATCATAATTTTTCACTGCAGGTTTACAATGAGCTTGACTTTATTGAATACTTACAGATCACCAGCAGAGGTCAATTCAGGTCACACAGAGCATGAACTCTTTGGAAAAACCTCTACTGTGGTAACATTACTCATCTTCCACGACCTGCTGCTTCCCACTTTGATTTAAAATGAACCGGCTGGTGGATTCAGATGGTTGGGATGCTAAGTCCCTTTAATGTTTTACTAATGAGGCTATTCATCACAGAGGATGAAGTATTGGGGACTATAGTGGGTCAAGACGGTCCTTGCCTAAAAACAGCTATCCTTGTACTGACCAATACAGGAAGAAAATAGCATCCAGACACTTCTCCCCCTTCTCCCTCCCTTTAATATCTTCACTAAAAATAGAGCAGGCGGATTGCTGATCTTTATCGGGAACTGGAGAGTAAAAAAAATAAAAGTCTATTGGAAAGCCAAGGTCCTTGGCTAGTCCATTTTCCCCAAGTAGAGCCACAGTATCAGTCCCAGAGGGGGCTGGAGGCTAGACAAGTGGCCTTGGCTGGTTCCAATTCAGGTTCACTATATCAATCAGAAATGCAGGAATGGAGTATGATACGATAATGTTCAATGTTTTCTAAGCAGAGGACAGAGTGAAAAGAAAAGCCAGTTCCAGTGTCTTATTTCAAACTATATAAAATAGGAGAAGCGATGCTCAGTAAAATAAAAACATAATCTAGGCCACAGCAGAGGGCAGATTCTTCATATTCATTACAAGAAGCTGGAACTGATATGGAAAATGAGACAAAAGTTTTGGTCAACAGAAAAAAAAAGACAACGAGTAAATGATTGTATCATAGTGCGAGTTTCAGAGAAATTGACTGGATGATTATTAATACTACTGAAATGAATCCCTTGCACTGAACTACAGAGCAGTGCCCTTGGCAGACGGAGGCAAGGAGATTTTTCAGTCTGAACTTTCTGCACCGTCCTGCACAGATTGTCTACTGGGTTTATATCTGATGAAGCACAATACCTCCGCCTGCCTCCCAGAAGTCTGACAACACAATCCTGCTGACTTTGAAGACAACTTGGGAGCAAAAGGACAGATCTTCGTCTGAGGGCTGAAATAAAAACTCTGCTCTCTCAAATGTCCCTTCAAATAATGACAAATGAAATGCTTACATGCCAAGATCTTATTCTGTGACAGTAAGAGGGAAACATGGCGCTATAGGAAGGCCCAGTGAACTGTCTTTAACATTTTTCCAAACAAATAAATAAAAAATAGATTGATCACCTTCAGTTATGACCACATTCTTATCATATAACTAGACATTTGTTTAAAGAGATATTCCAGTATCGTATTGCATTTCTGTAAAGTTGGAAAACTCAGATGAAACAAAGAAAAGGTCAAAATCGATGCAGCAGAGGTTGAAATATCCTCACTTTTAATCCTCCAAAAATACTCAGTACTATATTTCCCATGATGGGTGTCTTTTCTCTAGAGCCTCCCTGCTTGTTAAACTTCCACATCTTTTATCATAGCCTCTCTGCCATAAATCTGTAGAAACTAGACTATTAAAACGACAATAATCCTGATCACATTATCAGGTGTAAAATACGTGTGTGAAATCTTTGAAGCTGCCCTTCCTCAATAATCATTTGCAAAGTCTATTTTTTCCAAAACTTTACCTCCAGTTTCACCAGTTGCTTCTGTGAAGCTGCAGCAGAAGAAGCACAGTACAGGTTTCTCACAACTTCACCTGCTTCCAACCTAAAAGTGCAGTCCTAAGAGTTCAAAACTCCAAAAACACTTAAAGTATATAGAAAAACTTCATTATTACTTATGGGCTGAAGCCAAAACAGTCTGTCCAATAACAAAGCTGCAGCAGTAGTTATAGTGGGTTAGCATTAGGAGTAAGTTAATACACCTCTGATAAGAGAGTAAATGAGAGATAAATTTACACTGGATTACATGCTGAATGGTTTCCAGTGAATTAGTCATGTGTTGGTAGGTAATCTGGTAGGTAAACTTCTCACAAGGGAATGGCAGACTCTAACAATGAATGCTACTATGTAGAGAAGTGATTACATAATGTACATACACGGAATATATATTGCCTACCATAAACGGTATCAAAGTCTGTGTTTAAAGGTTACACCTGTAACAGTCTTCTTCCCGGCCTATTGCTTTGCCTTTCTTGGTGCCACCAACTGAAACTGTAGGAGAGAACATTATCGCATCAACTGCTTGTTTGTATTCCAAGCAAGCGAGAATGGAGACCCATTAAAAACTCCACAGGGTACCTTTAATGAAATAATCTGCATTTTTTATGTCTTTAAAAAAGGTCCCATATTTCTGCTGTGTTTTATTTGAAGTGCTGATCCATCAGAAGATATATTTGTGGTTTTAAGAACCAAAAATCATGTCAATGTAGTTTTATATCTCCTCTCAGGCTTCCCTCTGGAGCTCTAGTAACAACAGGTCAGTGTCTCTCTTCTGTGAAAGTAGCTTGAGGCTTGGCTGAGAGCAGGTGACTGCTTAGTTATGACATCATTAAGTTCAAGAAGTCCTGACGGCTGGTTTTAAGGCTCAGTTTCTGAATACAGGCTGTGTGCATTTCTCTGTGGACTGAGGCTTTGATACTTTCACAGTATTAATATAGAACCTAGACCTGCTTTATAATCAAACAACACATGGACATCTACCTTTATACTATATGGGAGCTTCAAGAAAAATGGACAATAAAGTGATCATCTCCTGTAAGAGCGAGCTATCATAGATTTTACATTTTGAGAACACAAAGCACAGCGGGGTGCAGACCAGTTTCAATACAAGTCTGTTCTAATTAAGCACAACATTTCTCATTTTGTTCTCCACATATTTAGATTTATGTTGCTCAGGTGAAGACAGCTGACAATATTTGGGGACTAAAGTATGATAGTAGCCCATCACTGAAGCACTTACTGCAGCCAACAATTACTGCCATCTCGTCAGACTGATCAAAAAGCATGTAAACTGCCTCAAAAAACACATTACGCTCTGCTAAATGTGCTTTTAAACATTTGAGTCCTTACACATAAAACATTTTAAATACCCTTGAGGATGTTTTTGGTGAGATTGGAAGTCCACTGTAGCCCTGAAGGGAGTAGTGGAAGGAATTAAGTTTTTTTTTGTAGCGCATGCAGGCTCTGCTACCAACACTTTCAACTCCATTCATAACCATGCAGTACAATAAAAAACAAATTATCCTGCTAACCACAGGCCCATGGATGGAATTAGGCAGAAATCCCAGTGGAAGAAAATTGAGCTGATTAAATGTTGAGAGAGCTGAGCTAATTTGTGATGAATCCCAGATCTTTTTCCTGCGCTGCATGAGAGGAAGTCATTTATAAAGTCTGTATGTCTAATTATAAGTTTTGATTAGAGGAGGGTGGTTTATTTCACCAGGACACATTTTGAAAATACTTAAGGTTTGTTGGAATTAATGCAGAAGGGAGCATGTATTACAGTTTGATATTTATTGCTCACTGACGTTCAGTGCTCAATGATTTTCTGAGTTTGCCTGCCTTTAAATGAATCTATTTTCCAAATGAAATAAATTAAGTCTGAGTATTTCTTATGCTGACGTATGCTACAGAAATAGTAAGCCTTAGCCACCCGGCAAACAGAGATACCCAGAGATAAGATTTGAACTTACTGTGTTCCTGTGGCGCCATCTGCAGGTAACAGGGGGGAGCTTCAGCACTGCCTGTAGCTTGAATCCACATCAGGGACCACATGCTGACTCTGGCTCTGTTGATGCAAACAAGAGGACTGAGAGCTTCCAGATGGAGTAGGATGACTGAACTGATGATGGCTGAGTAATCTGAGCCTTAATAATAGACCCATTTATTGACTTTTATTAAATCTTCTGATGCTTGCCTTTATGGATGGCCCTTGCTTATCTCAGCTACAGAAAGCAGCATGGGTGTAAAACTGTACTCAAGAGCTGTGATCAAATTCAAAATATCTCATTTCCTAACCACTTTTCCTTGATGTCAGGGAAAATTCATAATGACTTTGGAATGGACGACTGCGCTGCAGAGAGAATCCAACTACACTTTCTGGAATTTTTTTTTTTTTTTTTTTAAAAACCACCTTTATTCATAACACAAGGATCATATATAGCCTACCTACTCCTTTCTTTACAACAAACATAAAACAAACAGGACTGAAATGTTAAATGATAATATGAAAGAAATATACAATTAGAAAGAGTTGAGCCCAGTAGAGGCCAGAATTAATTAATCCAGACATAAGCAGGCTTTAGAGAGTTTTGACTTTTTTTATACATTTGTTAAGTAAAGAAAATGTATTTTCAGTGCAGTGAGCGGTTTTGAAATGGCATTATGTGTCGATTGTTATGACTATGATAAAGATGATATACCTGCTTTTCATGATGACTCCTAACTGGATCATACAAGGATTTCCATTTGGTTCATGTCACAAACATAAAACTGTTTCTCTGTTGTTTCTACATTTACATAGCTCTGCCGTGATGAAAACTACAATTGTTCAAACAATGGTTTTAAATGCTGGCACAGCAAGGCATTGAGTGGCAGCATTTTCTCCAATCCTTTCATAAAGGAAGATCCAGTGTTTCCTATGCTAAAGGAGATAAGGAAGGGAGCGCTCATTTAGAGAACTGGACCAGCTCTTATCATGGCTGCCACTGAGATACTTTTGGATCATTTGAAAAAGGAGCTTCGATACTTCCCATCTTCCTACGAAAGGAAAGGAGATAATGCTGTCCCTCTTTGCTGCAGCAACATTAAGACCATGCACCATTGTAGTTCCACCACAGCAGACCCATGTTTTATGTATGTGACACTTTTGGATATCCTTGCATGATTGTCTGAGCTCCAAATCCATAAATATAGATTTCTTCTCCTTCAAATCCAGGAGTCATTTTGAAGAACAAGCATATTGAATTTATAAATGACAATATCATCATCACAACAATATACTATATAAATAAATGTTTATTTTAATGGTTCAACTCTTTCTACTTGTATACTTCTTTCAAGTCATATTATTTCAACATTTCAATTCTATTTGTTTTGCGTTTGTGGTTAGGAATGGAGTATTTATCATATGTTATAAATAAATTGGTCAAAAAAAAAAAAAAATAGTCCAGTGCAGGTGCAGTCAGATTATCTAAGCAGCGCGGTTGTCCTTTCCTAAGTACTTATGAAGTCTCCTTCACATCTTTCCTTGACCTCAAGGCGTTGCCTCAAGGAGAAGTGGTTAGGGTAGGAGATTATATTGACTTTTCAACCACAGCACAGCACTGCACCGCACCGACTAGCTAGTCAACATATTAAAATATTTACTACGTCAGAGTTGGTAGAGAGCGAAGCGGAGCTAATTGCTAACAGAATATTGAACTTACATTCATCAGGTGGCTGGAAACACGACCTCACATGAATGCTAATGTTGCTCTCTGTCTGCAGGACGTGTACGTAGCTAAGTGTGTGCTAACACGCCGTACCTCTTAAGAAGGCGGCCAGGTGCAGCTAATTTAACGTTTATTGGTATGAGTTTACTGACCTCACGCGATTTCCATTGTCTGTCTGCTTAATGCTGCTTAATGTTAGCGATTAGAAAGATTAAATTTAGGTTTACGGGCCTTAAAAAGCGTATGAACTTCTGTATTATAACTTTGATATATGTCAGAAAATCACCCAACTAGGCTTCTTGGACACTGACATGTTGGAAATACTTAATTATGAAGATTCCGTAATGTCTTGAACGCAGCATTAATTTATATTAATCAGAATAACTAAAAACACCTGTGTGGATTTCCTCAACCTTGAAAATTCTAAATTGCATTAAGTCTCTAACATATTTATGAAATTGAAATCTTAATTTTAATTAATATGACCTTTCTGACCACTCAATACAAATTATTAGGAAACACTGGGGGACGGTGGTCATATTTAAAACTATTGGCAAACAACATCTCTTGTATTAGTAAACTCAGTTTTATAAATCTATTGTGGTTAAAGCTTAATAACCTCCTGCTTTTAAATGTCATCCAGACCAACAGCATCACTTTTTTTTAAACTTTATTTTCTACTAAGGCAAGCTGAGTTTTTTTTTCCACTCAACTCGCACATGAAACATACAACATTGAACACAGAAAGCTAACTACGCTTAAAGGGAAAGAAATCTAACAAAAACATTTCCAAAATAATTTAAGGCAAAGGTTTGTGGTATGGATACATTGGCTATAATTTCAATGTGTAAAACTTAGTGTCAGGTGAAGACAGTGAAAATATGAGGCAGAGGAAAACATCCTCTGCAGTGTACCAGATCAAATATTTCATCCCAAATAAGGCAATGATTTGTGGGCCGCACAATGATAAGACTGGGTAGTATATTATTATACACTAAAGTCTACAATACAGGGAAATCTAATTTTGTCAAAAATGATAACTACAACTATTTAATTGTGATTTTTACCACATTTTACTACATAAGCATTTGGGCTACTATCATATACTGCAAAGTTGAAATGATGAATTATTCGCAATTGTGCTTTGTTAATCTGTAACAGACAGGAACGTATGATTAATGAATAATGTTACTCTGGTGCTATTTTATCTGTATTAACAGTCATGAATGTACTGTTGGGTGTTAACTGATCTTAGCACATATTACAACGACCTAAATTTGTTAATTACATTTGGAAATTTTGAGACACACCCTGATAGTAGTGAACAACCTTAAAGCCTCACCACAGTAACTTCCCACATGGATTTTAAATCACATTTTCAAAAGAAAGATAGAAATATAAGGCAAAAGTGACGACTGATTCGGTTCTATGGTAGTGGTATCCAATAAATATCTAACAAACAAACAAACACATCCAAAAGAATTCTTATTAACAAAACCAATGTAACATTGAAGCTGTAGTAAATCCTGACTGTGAATTCACGTTTCTGGCTGATCAGATGATTGTCATTCTCCGTGTGAATGAATAAATGAGTCATCATGCAGTCACACATTGTGCAGGCAAAAGAGTTACAGAAAAAAAAATGCACAAATATGATTTGATGTATCAACAACATGCCACACTTCTAAAATGTATGTTATAATATCCTACAGTCTAAGTAGGTTCATCACATCCAGCAGCATTAATGTCAATCCCTTTATGATAAAAAAAAGAAAAAAAAGAATTGAGTATATATTAAAAATAAAAAAGATAATCAACATTTTTATGGTAAAACTTTTATGCATTTTGTCGTGAATTTGATTGACACTAGTTGGATTGCTGTTATTCCCATAGCAACCTGAGGGTGAGAGCACAGGACGGTGCAGGGTGAAGATGCAACAATGACAGCACATTTCCTGTAGACTAACAAGACAGGAAAGTGTATGTGGCATTTATCATGGTGAAATCATGATGTCAACAGACCTTTCTCACAGCAGACATTTCACTTGTTATAGCAGGAAACAAACATTAATAATGTTTTGTTTCAGTAAGACATGTCAGTGATCATGCATTCACATCAACATCTGGACCTGGATGGAATGCAGCCATGTTAGGAATTGCATCTGTGTCTGACCATGAGAAAGGAACAGTAAAGGCAAACTAGTAGTAACAGATTCCATTGGATTATATATGCATTAAATGTTTGGCATTTTCTAACAGGTGCAAACCTAAACTCATGACAGTGACAGTGTTTGTAACCAAAACTGTACATAAAGTAGTTTCATTCCAAAATCAGGGAAGTTTAAAAAGGTGATAACTAGTGTTACAAAATGACTGACAACATGAAAGTACAGGACATCAGGGCTCTATTCTCCTGTCAGCACAAAGACTGAAGATACCCTGTGGTTTGCATGTCTCGTCTGTATTTTGGTGCCCAGTGCTAAAGTGAGAGGAGCAGCAGGAGTCCCATGCAGATAAGGCAAAAAACAAAAAGATTATATGTCTGAGGACCCGGGGACCGATGTGTTTCCCTCACATGAACTGGGATTTCGAAAATCAGACTGTGTGGTAAGAATGCGTGCACATTAAACATGCGCACGTTTCAAAGAGTGATCTTTTACAGACGTCTCTGTAGGCAACTGGGACAGACTGAGACAGCTGCACCCCCAAAAAACACACCACCCCATCTGACCAACATGAGAAACATTAATTCTAACAAATTTTATTTCTCTTATTATTATTATTCTCCATCTTACTTCAATATGGGGGATAATCATGCTCTTGTGTCGTTTTGGAACTATAGTTCCCATATTTCGGGGGAATGTAAACAGGAAGTATGTCGCAGTGGAGTCAGTTTTCAGCCTGTATTTTCTGTTTGCAGTGTACTCATGGATGTACAGACAATTATCACTGGATTAACCTGACACTGAGGAAACTTTAACATGATCATACCCGGGCCAGTGCTGTAGTTACAAGGAGAGTCTTCACTCTGATTTCTAAGTATATTTATGGATGTTTATTAGTGATGAATGATGGACATTGCAAACGATATTCTCAGGAAGCTTACCTCACACTATATCTAAAAATGTGCATCGTGTGTGTTTAGATTTCCAGTTTCAAATTGCAGTAAACAGCTGCTCAGGCACTGTTTTTTAATCCTCTCCATGAGTGTGTAGCAGCCATTGCTGACTGTGATGATAAGCAGGCCCAATCAGAAGTCAGCTAACAACTAACTTCCTGTTGTTTTCAGAAGTCCAGCATGCACCAGTCCCTTTCATTTCACACAGTATCTTTGCCTCTGTCTCTGTCACCTCCCCTTCAACTCCTCCGCTTCACCCCTGTGGACCCGAGCTGCACAGTTTGTAAACCTGAGTTACAGCATTTAAAAAATACAACCTTAATGCAACTGCAGCAGGAATGTCATGGACACAGTGTGTACTGAGCATGGCTAGATTATTGACATTAATGGTTGTAGATTAATGGGTGATTTTTCCTAATATCCGTCATCCATCACTGCTACAAATCAAGTTACTTTGTGGACTGCACCACATTATTTTCCTGTAAGTCACTACAAATGAAAAATTCAACTTCAAACTGTGATTAGCAGAACTGTTAAATAGGAAGGAGACATGATGACCAACCACCCAATCCATTTCAACCAGCCCTTCTGCTCTCTGCTCATATATGACCTCGTGTACATGATCTACAGTTTGTGCTGATCTTTGTGACTGGAAACAGGAAAATACAGCCCTGTGTGTTTAATTAGACGCATTTCCTTATGAAGTTATTGTTGCTTATTAATGCATCAGGGCGAGTGTCCATATAGTGTTTTTTTTTCTTTTCTTTTCAGTTGTTCCCAGTGAGGAGAGAGCGCATCCTCTGCTGCATGCTGCCACCTTCTCAGAGCGCTCGTCCTTCTTCGTGCGGCTCCTCCGAGCGCTTCAAGTTGAAGATCTCCGACCTGGTGTCATCACTGTAGCTCCTTTTCAGGCAACCAATGAGATGGGGCGGGACTCATCACCGTGGAAGTCACCAAGAAAATGTAGGAGAAGCTTGTTCTGACTGTATCATATGTCAGACAGAAACTATCAGAACAAAATGTTATGCCTAAAACAGGCGTGGACGAGACGATGATAATCACCGCGTTGTTGTCTCCACCGGGTCGTGTCATGCACCAGCATCCTCCTCACACTGAGCGGCCACGAGCTCATCCACACAAGCTACGAGCGCAACGATCCTCCGGTTGGTGCTCATGGTGAAAAAAACAATGTCAAACTAATAGTACCGAAAAGCAAAGTGGCGATGCTCGTCTATCATACAACAGCAGTGGTGATATGTCGTCAAGATATTGTTGTCATAGAAACAAAACACACATACAGTGTTTCTGTGATGAGGTGCTCCCCAGCTCGCTGCCAGCACTTCTCTGCCAGAGGAAAACACTATATGGACACACACTCTTATTCTCTGGTGAATAAGTACACAGCATGGAGGGAAAGCCTTTCAGATAATAAATATTCAGAATAATCTATCACTTTTCTATACAGAGCAGAAGTCCTGCAGTACGGTCATTCAGGCCTGTTGCGTCGCCTGAGGCCGGACACAGGCAACACCTCCTCAGTGTTTGGCTCATGAGAGTCCTCTAGTGAAGGCATGAGCTCACAGTCCTCCACTTGTTCTTCCTCCTCTTCTGCTCTATCCTCCTCCTCTTCCTCCTCCAGCACATCTCCTTCTTTCTCCACCTCCCCGTCAGACTCCTCTGGTATGAGTTCCTTCATCTCTTCACCTTCTGTCGCAGCCTCATCTTTAGCTTCTGAATGCTTCTCATAGACTTTATCAGAGGCCTCTGCCGCTCCGCGGCTCTGCCCTTCCACCGGAGAAGCTTCAGCTGCCGAGGAGTCGCTGACCCCGAGGGACTCGATGAGGTGGTCCAGATTACGTTCGCAGGACGCCTCTGAAAGAGTCCAACAAGTAAGTAAATGATTATATTCTACTGATAATCAATACGTCATAAATTCTCTACTATAAGACATTAATGTCCCATAAGGCCAGTTGCTAAAAGGTTACCTTTTTTCTCACAGCTCACACAATAAATTCTGTTTAATGCACATTTCCACATCACTAATCAGTGAAACAACAGTGAAACATACAGGTCATACTCTGCTGCTCTGAGTCTCTCTTTAATCAGAAACACTGTTTTCATTCACTGATTCAATCCGGTCGCTCCTACGCTGCCATTTTTCAAGCTCCTTTAAGTGACGATCAATGAAACTGATCTGCGGAGTAATACAGTGTGCGCTGTAGGTGTATATGTGTGTAGGAATACCGGAGCTCCAAAGGAAAGGGCTGATTGACGGCAAGATAAAGAGGTGAAAATATTCAAAATAAAATCATACACAAACTTTTTCTGTGGGTATTTTTTTAAGTGGCTCAAACACATGTTTTTGCTGAGCCCGTCCACAGCACCACATCACTCGGCTTCTGTGCCCGTGCTCCTGCATGGGAAACATGAAACACTGCAGGAAGTGTTGAGTTTAAAAAAAAAAAAAAAAACAGCAAAATGGAAGCAGCAGGAAACAATCCCTCAGTAAACTGTAAAGCATCAGAGTGGCGAGTGTGACATGACTACAGTGGAATATTATATGAATAAAATGAAATGATCAAAACAGTTAAATGGACTTTACATTAAACAGCATCAACAGCCAACAGATGGAGATCAGGCTTCTTACTAAACTATGTAACACAAACTTCAACAAACTAAAGCTTGTTTGCAGTAAAAGGAAGGTTAATGGGAAAGTGCATGCACTACACAGTGTGCAAATGTTTATACAGTTAGTGACAGAGGTCTGGTCTCCTCCCTCTGCACACACATCAGGTGAGACTCGTCCTGCTGGTTTCTGTGATCAACCAACATGATTTTAATACACAACCTCAGGTCACCAAACCACAGGCTTCATGCAAAACACGTCAGTCCAGCTGCTCTGAAGACAAGTGAGACTTCACAGACTCATGATCGGCCCGTTTTACTTTTTGTTACACCTGTGCTGCAGGTTGTGTTCTGATCTGATCTGTTTGCAGATTTGACTTAAACCACATTCATGAGTGTAAACTTGGATGCAAAACACTTTTCTAGAGATGCGAATCAGTGTGGCAGCTCAAAGTTGAATTTCAAATAGTGGTTCATCATAACAAGACATGCAACACTGATGACACACTGACAGCAAGCTGCGACTGCAGCATGAAGCACGGCTGCGTTATAAATATTTTATTATACAGGCTGCAGTGAAGTTAGCATGCTGCATGTGCCTGATCACTGAACACTGGATGAGTCTGCAGTGTGAACACAGTCAGAAACAGCAGATCAGCCCACCGTTGATGTTCAGGGGGGGGCAGTCCATCCCTCTCTTCTTCATCAGGTACCGGATGGTTTGTAGCTGAGACATAATCTCATTCTTCTGGTCCTGGGCCACTGACTTCACACTGCAGAGAGATGACAAGTGAAAAGAGGAGCCACTCTGAGCATGTAGGAAGAACTACGCCCTTTAATTGGTGCAGACAGATAATGTTACAGGAATCAATCAAGTATAACATTATTAACAACAGGGTGAATGTGGGAAAATATAATGACGTGACAGTGGAAAACAGTGATATTAGTGGAATGTAAATAACAAGTCACATATGTAATCAAACCAGGTTCACACGCACATCCTAAAAGATATAACACGCTGTTGGTCTCGCCGCCTAGCAACCAACGTCATATAGGTACAGTGCTAGAAATGTTTTTAATAAGAAATTGTAGGTTCATTTTTCAAACAACAGTGACTTGGAGCGAACCCAACCATCTAATGAGCAGGTCTCTCACACTCTCACACTCTCACACTCTCACACTCTCACACACTCACACACTCACACACTCACACACTCAATATGGTTTATCCTTGTAGCAAGGGCGGGTTGGTTGCTTTCTGAGCCCAGCACCTGTGCGTGTACACCTGCAGTGCGTTCATGCAGTTAGCCCGAATTAGAAATCACAGGTGTACTCACTTCTTCGTTGCATTGCGGTTGTACTTTAGGGTGCGAATGTTCAATGTAGTCTATCTAACCTCTTTGTTTTTCATTATATGTATGCACAGTTGTGAACTGGGTTCTGTTGTAAACTGTAAGAGGTGCATGGTGGGAGGTTAAGGGCATTTATGTGCTGGTGCCCCCTTTGGCCAGGTTTTGTTTTGTTGTTACTAAATAAGCTGTGTATTCCTCTGTTCACCACTTCCTGGTCTCAGTTTCTATTTGTCATGTTACTGACTCCGCCATCACTAGCCCACCTCAGGGACATGAGAAGAAAATAATCTGCAGGTTCATTGAAAGTCAAGACGAGGTGCAGCCGTGGTTTAGTGCAGAATTACTGACTGGTGTTCAGGAGACAAATCACACCTCTGCTCTGCGTACCTAAGTGGCTGCCACCTCCATAAATACACACCAAACCCACCTGCCTCTCTGTCATTTACCTGCTCCTCACTTTCTCCCTTTTCTTTATTTCTGGTCTCTTTTTTTCCCCTCAAGGAATTAGACTGAACCATTTCTTGCTGAGAGTTAGATGAGAAGCATGTTTTGCGTATTCCCCCTTGAACTATTCCTTTAAGGTTAATGAACTGCTTTAACTAATTACTTCTCATGAAATCCAAACTTTTATAGAACTGGAAATAATTCATTTTTTCCTACACTCTCTGCTCCATTTCCAGTTAAAATGACAGTATTTATATTACATGTGTAAATGAGAAACGATGCAGACAGTAAAGTGGGGATCATGTTTCAGATATGTACACAAAGTATGGCGACGAGGCGCTGCGTGCACACCTGGAGACCGAAGCATGTGAAAGCTGACACTCACCAGTTAGTGAGCGGGTCCAGCTGGGTGAGGATGGAGTTGAGCATCCTCTCTGTCTGTGCGAGTCTTTGTTCCAGCTCATTCAACTGGTTTTCTGCACAAAAACAAACAACTCTACATTTAAATTTCTCATGGTAACCAAATATGTGTGACCAAAAAAAAACAAAAAAAAAAAACACACACACGTAGATATACAGATATGCAAACAGTAATCCCAGTACACACAATACACACCTGCCTCCACTGATTTTTTGGCCCCTTTTGCAAATTTGTCCCTTTGTGCCTGGTCGTCTGCAGACTTGATCTGCGTGTTGAAAACAATGTGATTATACAATTACTGATGATTGTCATTCAAAGGTGTAAATTCTCTTCATGTAATTAGATACTACAGGTACCATATACTATTTAGTGGGTTGTAATTGTATTTAATATTTTACATTTAATTTTTAAGTTTGTTACATCTCTGCTGTCTGTGAGTTCACACTGAAGTGTTTCTCTATCTTACCTTCAAAAACTTGTAGGCAGCGAACACTCCCACCCCGATGGCGTAGAGTGGCATCAGTGTGAACACGTAGCCCTTGTTGCTGTTGGATTTGTACTTGTCATTCTTCAGCTCTTGCTCCATCAGCTTCTTCATCTGTTGCATGTTCTCAGGGGTCTGAGAGGAGCCGGGGGCGTTCACGCTGATGGGCTGGCCTCTGACTGCGCCCGGGCCTGGACCTGCTGCCGCAGTTAAAACGACAGAGTTTTTCATTCATTTTTCAGCCTGAGTGCGAGTGTCTAAGGAAAGTCAGAATTAGCCTCTGTAACTTCGACAGAAGTTGAACTAGGACTTGTTTGTCAGCGTTCAAAAAACACAAAGCTCCCGTGGCATTTTTGCAGTGTGACATGGTGAATCCCATCAACCAGTTTCACATGATCAACTTACCAGCTGTCTATAAAACGCATACGATGTTCGAGCCATGTCACTCTCATATCTTACCACTCCACTGACCTCAGTCCGTCAAGTTGGTGGCATTTAACCAACTTGGGCTTATGGGAAATGGTGTTCATTAAAGAGAACTTAAAAACTATCAAATAAATAACAATATGGTTGCAGACTACAATTCTTTATTTTTGAGGGAGCAAGTCATCATTCGCTTGCAGAGTGATTATATCATACATCAGTAGATATACCACAAAGAATGTATTTCTTATTATGTCTTATTTTTCACTTTTCTGATGAAATTGGATCATTTTTTTATTCTGCAGACTATTCTCTATAACCTGTATTCATGTGGTGTTGGAATAATCAGAAAAATAGAGTTTCCGACTGGGAAACTTAACATAAACTTAACATAAAATTTTGGTACTCGACTTGCCGAATTGTTGGGGTCCATATGCAGAAACAAGGCGGACAAAAGTAAATGTTTGGCTGATGGGAAGAAACTTTTGATTAATGGTGCAAATTCACATATTGCATATCAATTTTTTTTATCAACATGTGATTTTTAATATGGTTTTGGGTTTTAATTGTTAGCTGCTGTCTACACAGAGTGACCAAGAGTAGGCACAAAACTTATTTATTAGCAGCAACCCTAATAAGTAACACACATACTGGAAACAGCTATCAATGTGTTTTACTACACGTCTTCTTTGTAGCGTCCATGTTGTTTCCACATTCTGACTTAAAAGCACATGAACACACTGAAGTCAGAAGAATGACTTCCCAACTCTGAGGAGGGGGGGAAATTAGGAACAATCTAAGGAGCACATAAATGCACCATTACTTCTGGAACAGAACCAGGGAGTTCAAGTTTCACTTCTATAGGGCAGCTGGTATGTCCACTTTCATGCCAGGAGGTCCCTGATAGTCTGACATCAGGCAACAGATGTCCCACAGCTGTTGGAGCGCACCTGGCAAAGGCGACCAAAGCCACGCCAGAGAAGATCACTCCTCTACCCTGAGAATGGCTCCCTCTGTGCCTGCACTCCCACTGTGAGACTGAAATGTACAAATCCTGAAGAAACTAACCCTACACATGCATGCTTCCTTTCTGAAAAGACGAAGTTAGATTACATCACTGTGAAAGGTCAAAACAAGGACAATGCCACCATCTAATGTTGATGCTGTTGTACACTTTAAGGAGACAGATGTGAGTGTTCGTGGATTCTGACTTTATTGTCCTACATCACTTGAACTGTGCGATTTAGCTTGTGTTTTACAATAAATTGTATCTTTAACAGACTTCAGTGTTGGTGCACCATCGCACACTGAAATCCTTCTTCCGTGACAATAAAGTGAACATACAGTCTTTTGTCATGACTTTTATTTTGGGAAAACTTGTTGGTGCACACGGTGGCTAATGCAAACTGAAGAGACGAGTGCGCTCGAGGCAAAACGACACATATGAGAGGAGGCTCGTAGGAACCATGTTGTCTGTGGGAACATTTCCTACCTTTTCTGGTGTACCGAGGGTCAAATCTGGTTTCCTTCGCTCCGGTCCCGATGCCTACGCCAAACAACCTCGGCAGGACGACAAACGTGAAGAGCACGGCCGTGAAAGCCAGGGCGACTTGTTGTGATGTTGACAAAACCATCCTACCGCGAAACACACTAACGGTACGAGACACCGGCCGGAAAACGATCAAAGCAAGCCGCTGAAAGACGAGGCTGGAGACGCTGGAGACGAGGAGGAAGCGTCAAGCTGTTAGCTGCCAATATACAATGAAAAATAACGTGACATTTGAGGTCTGACACCAGGCTGTTCGGCCCAAAACAGCTGTGCTCCACTCTGCTGCCACACAAGAACAACACTTCCGGGACAAGCGTTTCACAATAAAAGCGTTGACTGAAAAGGCTTTGTTGACGTAAAAATAAAACTAGTCTGTGACAGAAAATGTTGTAGTAACAGGGTTATTAATTAATATCGTATTTTATATTTATTGTGTTTTATACATTTCATATTTGCAAACATTTCATACAATAAGAAACAAGCTGTGGTAGAAGTATTTTGAAATACCAATAAATAAATAAATAAATAAATAACAATTTGGAGGAAAGCATTGGGAAAAAAATCATATAGACAGTGGTAGAAAACGTATCTCTTAAGTCACTGGTTCTTCATATGGTGTCCCGGGACACCCAGGGGTTGTTGAGGAAGTTCCTGGAGGTTCCCAGCAAAAAGATGAATAATTTAGTTTTACTATAATTCCATTCATAAGTAACACAATGACAGAATGTATTACTCTTTGTCAAGGGTTTCAAACAGTTTCTGTAATAAAACATGTAAAAGTAAAAATGATGTCAGATGGGAGACCCTGGGACAAAATCTTATCAAATTGGGGTCCGTGGTCTAAATTGAATCAGTTTAGGAGTTCTTGATATAAAAGGTTTGAGAACCACTGTCTTAACCAATACATTAATGTAAAAACAGTAAAGTAGTTACAGGTAAAAATTCTCCATCCAATCCTACTTATGTACATAAATTTTATCAGTAAAATGTATTTATCAAGAGTAAACATATTAATTCTGCATAAAAGTGGCTCCTGTGACTGATTTATTATTATATATGACATTATTAGGTTGTTAACATTGATGCATCAATGTATAAGCAGCATTTTACTATTGTAGATGATTTAGGTGGATCAAAACAAAGTGTGTATCCTGCATTGCTTTGCAAAGGGCAGAGGAACAAACATTGCAATTGCTGAAGTGAGCTGGACCCTCGAGGGTTTTCCGGAAGCAGTGGGTTCTGTTAATGGCCTCTAATGCTGGAAGTTGTGGTTGTTGGTTGAGTGATCATAACTTTCACTCAATACTTCCATGTGAGCTGTAGTCTTTTCTGTGGTCACAAAATAAACGTTGTTTGTTATGAAGGTCAAGAAGGTTTCAATTTTTTATAGCAACTGCTATAATGGATGTCAGTTTTGTCTTAGAATATGGAAAGAAAACCCCAGGAACACGCTTCAGTGTTTTCAAAAAGGCAGATGACAGAAACGCTAAATGAGAGATCGCACTGAGTTACAGGAGCTAGTGGAACAGAGGCTAACCTGGAAGTGGACATGATGTCAGCTCTGCGTTGCTCGGCCTCGTCTCCAACACGACGAGTGCAGACGACCAGTGGAGACTTCAGAAGATCACTGCACTTGGCCAAGAAATGAATGAACAAAAGAATGATTTTTATGTAAATACAATACTGTGCAAAGGTTTTAGGCTCAAAAAGTAAGACGGAGATGCTTTCAAAAATAATGCCATGAATATTTCTTACATTTTAAATATGAGCACAATTTGGCCAATAAGTTGTTCCAAACATGTTGGAGAACGTCTTATAGCTCCTCTGTGGATTTACACTGCCTCAGTTCTTTCACTTCAGGAATTCCCAGACTCACTCACTGATGTTGATATCTGGTCTCTGTGGGAGACAGACCATCTGCTCCAAGACTCCTTGTTCGATCTCGTTGCTGAAGATGGTGCTTTGTGACTCTGACTGTACGTCTGGGGACTCTGTTCTGCTGCAGAATGAATTTAGAATCCATCAGATGGAACTGAGTGATGGATAAGAATCCAAACATCTGAAGAGCCTAAAGTTTCATGGCAATACAAGGAATAACTGGCATTGCCGTCCCTCGAGCCATGTGGTTAGAATAGAAAAACAAACAGGTAAAATGACGGTACACTGAAACAAAAAAAAAACCAAAAAAAATATTTTTAATTAATTAATCATAATTAATCTGAGCACAAAAAGTTAGGCCTGCACGCTTTTCTGGCGTGCTAAATTAAAAAAAAAAAAAATCAATCAGTCAACTGGTAAACAGCCTGACAGAATCATTTTGCATGCAATTGATATTTGACCCTGTTCATCACATTATTTTCCATTTCCTCTTCACCACATCACACTGCTCTCAATTTAGCAACTTCATTTTGCACAGATGCCACTGCCCACATTGTTATCACGTTCTCTTTATTTTCAATGAACACTGGGTTAAGCATAAGAAATAGCATGTGTTTCTTTGTCAGAATATGTCTTTAAATTTCCAAATACAGCACATACATCCTGTTCCTCTTGGGTGTGTTATTTCCTGTGTCAGTTTGACAGATGTAAGTGTATTTCACGGAGCCATAAACTCTGCGTCTTCTCTTGTGGAGTTTTATCCTTTGAAGCATGGGGAGCAGGGTGGACTTGTTACTGTGGGCCTGGATCGTCCTGGACTCGGGGGTGTGCTCAGTCGTACTGCCAGAAATCACAGATGGGAAGTTCATTGATGAATGTGTGAGGGAACACAACAGGGCACGGTCATCTGTCAATCCACCTGCAAGTGACATGCTGCACATGGTAGGCAGAACAACCCCTTTGATTTCTCACTATTTATTCTTCTTACCATCTTAAACGAGAATTACCACCACCGTGTATCCTCCCGCCGACAACCCAACTTGCATTAAACATCATCACAATCTCCCCTTCCTCAGCTACAGCACTGAATAATGGACAGAAGTGTTTTTGCAGAACATTTTGACATTGTCACAGTAAAGTTGACCTTTGACCTTTTGGATAAAAAAATCAAAGTCATCACTTCATTGTATCCTTATAGACATTTGAGTTTAATTGTGTCATAATTAGTGAATGAATTTGTAAGTTATTGTTTTGTGAGGTCACAGTGTGACAGAATGAAATGAAATGTCCTCTTAGTGTTCCTGCTATATTGCATTCACAAGAACATGAGCTCACAGTGACCTTTGACCTTTGACCACCAAAATCTAATTAGTTCGTCCTTGAGTCCAAGTGAGTGTTTGTGTCAAATGTGAAGAAGTTCTGTCAAGGACTACTGAAATATCGCATCCATGAGAATAGGACAGACAACCTGAAAACAATACGCCTTTGGCCCTGGCTGTCGCCGGCACAGAAGCATAAAAATCAACACTAACCTGTTCACAGAGAGGCCTGTGGACTCGTTTTTGGAAATACACTCTGCTGTTCAACTTTCCTTTGTTATTTACACTTTTGTGAGCATCCCAAAGTAAATCCCATTCGCTTCCATCATATTGGTATGGTAGAGACTGGACGAAATTTCAAAACCTGGACAAACAAAACCAAAACTCTTTGCACGGCTGGATGCCAAAAGGAGTAAGTGAGATAATATATTTGTCCTGTGAATGAAAACCAGTTCTTTTTTTTTTTAATGTGGGTGAAGCAATCATTTTAAAAACCTCAATTAAAAAAAAAAAAGATGGGCTCGTTATAAAGGGCTGTTGCTTCATATTTTCTGTCTCTGCTGCTCCAGACGTGGGACGAGGCCTTGGCCATTACTGCAAGAGCGTGGGCAAAGCACTGTGTGTTTGACCACAACCCTCGCCTCAAAGATGTCGGCAGAGTGCACCCCACTTTCTCGTCGGTGGGAGAGAACATATGGACGGGCAGCCCACCATCATCATTTGATGCCACAAAAGCCATAAAAAGATGGGTGGATGAAAAAGCATACTACAACTATGAAAGGAACAATTGCAGTAAAGTCTGTGGCCACTACACGCAGGCATGTGCACTTTTTTTTTTTTACTGTTAATGAAAATGTGCTTATTCTCCGCTTTTCCCTCTTTGTTTTGAAATCGCAAAAGCTTTAAGAGCGGAGGGTCAATAAAAAAAGAGGAACCTTTAAACTTGCACAGTTTAACACTTTTGTTGTTTCCAGGTCGTTTGGGGAAGCAGCTACAAGGTTGGCTGTGCCGCTGAGCTGTGCCCAAATGGTGTCAAAGACTTCAGTGACAGAGAGGGCGTCGTTTTTGTCTGCAACTATGCTACAGCGTAAGTTGAACACATCAACAAATAAGACCTACGGCTCTGAGTTTATGACTCAGAGTTGTCGGTGAACTGATGATAAAACTGATGATATACAAAGGTGTCACAAGGGGAGGCCCGAAGATCTCCAAAAGTGATGCTTCGATATTTCAGGTCACTTTAAGTCATGATGTGAAAAACAGGAAGTGGTATAAAACCATATGTATCCACCACATCCCCCAACAAGGTTCAGTCAACCATTCAGTGAGTCTGGCTCAACCAATCACATACACATACTAAACCCAACAATGACTGTGTCCTACTAACAATTGCTTTATAAAACCTGATATATCTTAATCAGCTGTATCACAGAGCTCCAGTGCTGTCCTTTATTGTGACTCAGTCCCACACACACCATCCTGCTGCTGTAAATAGTACAGCACTAAATATCTAATAATCCACTGTTGAAAATAGTCCAACAAACGTAGGATTTACACCCTTGGGGGCCCCAAACATTGTTAGTTTTGGTCTTTTCACTGACTTTATTGACACTAAGAAACATAGAATGATGCAAATCTTTTCCTTTAAGCTTCATTTTTTAGATCACTACATCTCAAAGCAAACACACCACAGGTACCTGAAATTTCTATGTTGGAAAAATGATGTAACACCAACAGTAAGGAGATAAGAAGCTGAAAGGTTCAGGGCAAAGATGAGCCCAGAATGAACAAACATCTGCTACCTGCCACATGGGAGAGTGATTCAACTGGTGGTTTCTTGTGCAGGGGTAACTTCAACAACAGGAGACCATATGAAACTAAAGGGGCAGCCTGCTCTGGATGTGAAGGCACCTGTGGGGACAGTCTCTGCCGTGAGTATTCAGTCCCATTTCTGCTGATGCAAACAATCCTTCCTTTCCTTTAGATTCAGTCTTTAAAAAAAAGAAAACACTAAAACTCTGGACTACTTTTGTCATTTTTCACCTAAAAAAAAAAAAAGTTGTGGTTGCATTGCATTCGCATTGTTACCTACACTGGTTTTTAACAAGTCACTTTACAAAAGCCTGAGAAAAGACTGAGACATTTTTTCCCTAAAAATCATGAGTTATCTGCTCAAGTGGAGGGCAAAACAAGAAAAGCACAACTTGTGGTATTTCATTCATTTCTACCGTGTTAATGTTCTTGCAGGTGACCAAAAACGAGATTCACAGCAAAGTAAGTGTGACGCATTTAAACCAGAAAACACAGTTTGAAGCAGAGATATAATCCAGCACAGTTTGAAAATAAATGGAAATAAAATTGTTCCAACTTCTATTGTGTTTCCAGGCTACAGCTGGACCCCAGACTGGGACCCATCCCTGGCTGCCACATATACTGGTTCCAACTATGTGACCATTCTGGTTGTGCGGCCCATCGGCCTCATCTTCACCTTCATCACAGCATATGCAGTCCGCCACTATTACCCTGATGTCTTCTGCTATGAGTAGATCCTCTGTTTGGACCTGAACAACATGGACCTGTTCAGCCAGCGTTAAGATGAAGATGAGATCAGATCATCTTCGATTATTCAGTTCCTCTCAGCTCCAGCGACATTTTTTTAAAAACAAATGACTGAATGATTTTTGATTTTACTGCACGGCAGTAAGATTTAGGCTTTATTAAAAACAATAACTAACCCAAACTAAAATAAACTAAATTTATATAGAAAATGTCTTTAGTTTTTGTCTTTGTCACTTTATTTCATACATCAGCCTGATATTTTGGGTTGATATGAAATCTATCTTCCAGTTTTATAGCTGCGTCACTCCTCTCACTGTACCACCAGTACATGTGCACTTTAAAGGTCCAAAACATTCACTGTATTAATGATGTCTAGTAATTTATTGTTAATTAACTGCAACATTGTGCCAGTCCAGTTCACTGAGGAGTTCATTTTGAGTGTTTTTTCACGTTTTTCCCTCACACTGTCTCGACCTGGATCTCACACAGAAGCAGAGTTACACACATTTAGCATTTAAAGCTGCACCTTGTGTTGACTTTTTGCATGTTTGTGCCCATATTTACATTCATTTTATGTTCTGTTGTAGTTGCATTCTTCTGGTTAATGACACTAACACACTGACTGACACAAATCTTATATCACCGTCTTTTGAGTATGGTTGTTCATTTGTCCTCAGTGAATACTTTTTTCTGACCTGTCTGAATCTCGCCCCCGAAAAATCCCCCATATTACAAAAAAAACTAACTGAAGCTAATAAAGCTAAACTAAAACTGAGCATTTTCAAACAACAAAAACTAAACAAAGCTGCTTTAAAAACAAATTAAAACTAAACTGAAATTGAAAACAAAAAGTCAAAACGAAATAAAAATAAAAACGAATGAAAATCCAAAACTATCATAACCGTGGTACCAACACAAAGGTACAGCTCTGCAATGCAATTACTATGTACCTCTACAATGAAGGTGCTGGGCAAAATGTTGCAACTACATGTGATGTGGGCCAACGCTACAAATATAAGGTTGTATTCTGCATCTGATTCAGTCACACATCAGTGTTTTTTGAGGGAGAAAAATATATTTTTCAATATATAAATACTGATCATACAAAATCCGGACGATCTGAATCCATAGAAAGCGACAGACGGGAGGGAAATCTACTGCTGCTCAACACGCTTGGTCTCCAGATAGAGCAGAATATACAGCAGAAAACAAACAGGAGTTTGTTCAAAGGAGTAGTTCAATAAAAACATCCGGGGCAGCTTGTATTGGAATTGGTTTTGATCCACAGTCCGACGTCCCGTCTTCCCGCGCGCTTACAGAGTCTTTACTGTCACATTACAACAGCGGAGGCGTCAGTCTGTGGTTAGCCTTTGGTTTTGTTCTTCTTCTTCTTGTCTGTGGTGCTGGTGGGAGGAGCTGGGTTCACTGGTGGAGCCCCCAGTTTCTTGGTTTTGGCTTTTCTCACTTTGTCCTTGATGGCGTTGATGTCCAGCTTTCCGTCTGCAGGAGCTGTGACAAAGTCAACACGGGTGGGATGTGGGTTAGTTGTGTTATTACAGAGCACAGCTTCAGACGTATTTACTTTGTTTTGTCACGTCATTACCTTTACTGGTCTTCTTCATCAAAGGCTTCTCTTTAGGAGGAATGAAAGCTTTGTTCCGCTCTTCCTGCTTCTTGGTCAGAGCCTCTCCTTGTTTGACCTGAGAAAGAGGAAGAGTCACAGTCATCACTGCTCAGAATATGATGCAACTCTTTTAGTATTTACTCTGCAGATTTTGGAAATGTCAGATTTTTATAATGCTCCCTGGAATTAGATCATCAACTATCTGCTAGCTTCAAAGAGAAAAGAAGGCAAAGAAACAGAGATCACTTTAAAGTGATAGTTTGGTTCATTTTTGCAGTAGATTCAGATCAGTGCGGATCAGAAGCTGAGTGATGAGCTGCTGTGGACGGGGCCCAACCTCAAAAACGTATTTTAGCCACTTTAAAAAATGGCCACAGAAAAAAAACTAATCTAAAGTTGAAGTGTACCCTTTATTTTGAATATCCTCACCAGCCCTTTCCTTTAGAACTATATTCTCTCAACCATTAAACTACTGTATTCCTACACACATGTGCACCTACGGTACACACCGTATTACTCCGCAGATCAGCTGTTTGAGCCGGACAGAGCTAAGCGTAGCTTTGCTTGTACGTAGGAGTATGTTAGTTCAGCAGTCGAGAAAATGTAGTTCCAAAGGAAAGGGCTGTTTGACGGCAGATAAAGTGGTGAAAACATTCAACATATATCATAGACTGACAACTGACATTAGCTTTTTTTCTGTGTACATCTTATTGAAGAGTCTAAAACACAGTTTTGCAGATGTCCCCGTCCACAGCAGCTCATCACTCAGCTTCAGGACCGGTGTTCCTGCTGCTTCTCTAAACAGAATCTACTGCAGGTAACACACTGACCAGAGATAACTACATCACACGCCCCCACGTCGAATAACTCCAACTATCAGAAGTGTTTGTAGAAGTTTATGTCAGGAGAAGATCAGAGAGTAAAATCTCTACACTGTGTTTTTATAACAGACTCCGTGTCTGTCAGTTGGTCTGCACTGAAACATTAATCACTGCAAAGTCAAAAGCTTTAGAAACATTTCTCATGTTGTGATTGGTCGCACTGATGATATGTTCCCGTCATAGTTAAAACAGACTAACATTTAAAAACTGGACTAAATGTAGTTTAAAAGCGAGTTTGTGAATGACGGCTGCATATAGTCCTGATGTTGCTGGTGCTTTTCAACCACCAAGATCATGAGGCTGTTACTGAGTCAGACTATGATCTATCATAGATCTACAGACTTGTGACAGTGAAGCTGAATAACTGTATTTAAGCATTTAATGGATCAAACAGTTGGATTCCAGCAGTCAATCATCCATTAACACTAATCAAGTCAGCTGAATAATGAATAAAATGTAATCATGTTCACTTATCGACTCTTTCCTCCAACTGTCACTGTTTCTGTTTTGTTACTAATAAATGAGAATTGTCCCACACTGATGTTTCTGGCTCCACTGGAGGCTCTGCTCTTTATTTACTCACTGTCATGGGGAACTGTAGCATAATAACTCTGATCACCTGATTAAGATCAAAGTCTGTCAAACCCATTTTCTGGACCAGGCCCCTGGTCTGAGGACAGCTGGACTTGGCTGCTGTAGTATCGGTCATGTGAACCGTCGCTGTGACTGAATCAGACTCACCTTAATCTCCTCCATCTTCTTCCTCCTTTTCACACTTTCACGCAGGAAGAATTCTCCTGTGGCCAGCTCTTTGTCAACCTGCAAACATCAGTTACAATCAGTGTTAAAATAAGTTTGTTTTAAATGTCTCGATATACAGATTCGTCCTCAGCCTCAATAACAAGGAACTTTCCTTTAGGTTGCGTTATTAGTTAGTTACATTAAATTCCATCTTTTAATCATAACGACCTTTAAAATACCTGATGTGGTTTTTTTTTATAATACAACACAAAGTTTCTCTGACCAAGTGTGCATCACTAAAACTGTCCATAGACAATGTTGAGGCAGTTACACAGACATTTAGTTTGAAACAAACTTCTGCCGACCTTGCTCTCTGGCTGTGCTGGCGGGAACGGCGTGTACTCCTTCTTCACGCTCTTCTTCTTGGGCTCTTTGCGCTTGGCCAGGTTCTTGTGGCGGAACTTGGGCAGGAAGCGTTCCCAGCTCTGCACCCGCAGGTCGGGGTCTTTGGACAGCTCCCGTTTGATCATCAGCGTCTGAACAGTCAGAGGATGTAGAAACAGGTGGGGGTGGAGCGGGGGAAATAAAAGCAGGAAAAATATGACACATTGATGGTGATGCACTGTCACACTAAAGACCCCGTCTGCACTGAAAAGTAGTTTCTTTACTGCTGGCTCTCACTACTGAAGTGCTTTCATTTAGTGTGAATAGTAAGATTATTATTGGGAGCTTTGACACTTTAAGTATAACCAACTCTGCATTCATTTATCAACTTATCATCTTAAACTGTTTCTCAACCTCTTAAACTGTCAACTGATAAAACTGGTGCCGGGAGACATTTACAACCATTTCCTCTGACAGTAAAAAGCAGCAGGGAAACAGTTGGTACCAGGCTCTCCAGAAGTCTGCACTACGAAGCAGGATTTGAGGTTATCGAGGTCACTTCAGGTTTAACTCTGGGTTTTCAGTCGTACGACGGTGGTTCACTTGTGACCAGGGTAAATTACCATGGTAACTTATGCTGAACTCCTAACCTGCTCCGGTGCAGGTTTACTAAGAGGATCAGATCGAAACCTGTCAAGAGCCAAACTACTGACCAATCAGATCACTGGAGGAACAGAGTCAGCTTTCCTACAAGATCCTGACAGGGACAAAAGAGTTTACAATAAAGTGATCAATAATAACCAGCACCAGATATAGAAAATTATAAAAAAAAGCAGTGGAATAGTTTTGCTGTTTGAGTCTTTCCATGTGTCCACTCTGGTTTTAAAACAAAGCTTCTAAAAAATGGGTTTATCACACTAAATAAATAAACAACTATTAGAGCTTCATTTTAATTGAACAGATATTCTTTAATCCGACAGGAAAACAGGCCTGAAAACATTAATTCATTTGTTTCTGAAGTTTAAAAAAAAAAAAAACTCAGTTGATGCTTTATAATTCAGTAGTTTGTTTGTGAGCATAAAGATCAAGAGTGAAGAGGTTAGACTTAATGTAAAATACTGAAGATGAACAGTGTCTCTGTGCATCATGCAGTCTACCTGCAGCAAGACTCTATTCTCTAGCAGCTCAGTGCTGTTTGTAGAGACTGTTCACTAACTGTACCTCAGACTGATGATCCTAACCTGTGTCATTTATCAAACATGTCAGACACTATGGCTGCTCCACAGTGTTGCTGAAACAGATTTAAAAAGATTGTGTCTGGCTCAGATTGTTAGTCATTAAACTAGGACCTGAAACAGAACAAGTGCCTCTGTCATGCCCTCAGCTCCAGGTTGAGCCAACCTTGGCGTCCAAACCCAGAGAGATTCAGTTCAGTCAGGAGATCGAGAACAAGGATGGAAAACATCTTCATTGGGCAAGAAGCATTCTGTCCAGTACTACAGCTGTGGACTGACACAAACCTCCAACCAGCCAGGTTTCTGTCATTTCCAACGTACCTTAATGTTGTAGATGGGGTGGATGTTCTTCATTGTGTCCATCACCACTTTGCGTACCTGCACAACAGAGGAGACATAAAAAAAAATCAAATGCTTACGGTGGCCCTGAGAGCTCAACACATGAGAACGAGAAGAAAAACAACCAAATACAGAAACGTGCTGCAAGTAGCACAGACGACAACAGAGGTGCTTCCAGTGTTTCTTTGAGAATGTGCATAAAAACATGTGGATGGACTCCGACCTGCAGGCTGTGCACTTTGACGCTGAGTAATACAACAAGCGCGCAACCTCGCCTGGTGAGATAGCCAGTTAGCCAGATAGCATGTGTAGCTTTGTTAGCTAAATAAAGATAAGTTAATATAAGATAAGACTTAAAATGTCTCTGACAACACAATAAAAACATAATCTGTGTCTGACATTTAAAGCAGTGGCTCGATAGTTGATTCATAAATTTGATTTTAACAACATTTTTGTTCTAGCTGAGTGGTTCTCAAAGTGAGGTCCGGGGACGCCGAGGGGCCCTTGAGGGCGTTCGTGGGTGTCCCCAGAAAAAAGGGGAATCATTTACTTTCTCTACAGTTCCATCCATAAATAACACAGTGACAGAATGTGTGACTATTTCGGTCAAACACCTTCTGTAATAAAACATCTCAAAGCAAAAATCTTAGCAGATGGGGTCTGTGGTCTAATTTGTCTCAGTTTCTTGATGTGAAAAAGTTTGAGAACCACTGTTGTAGCTAACAGGAGCTAACCAGTTGTTGTATAATAATAATGAACTGAGTTTTAATCATTTCTTATTATTGTTTAATTCATACATTTTACATAATTTATGAATTAGTTCATAATCATTTATTTATTTCGTTCTGGACTTTTTGGGCCTCTGTACCCACGAGCTCTTCTCTCTTTGCTGCCGGCTCCTGTTGCTATTTGCTGCTGCAAACACCCACATGTCCCAACAGGGCTCATTAGGGTTTGGCCTCACCTCTATCTGAGCTCAACAGAGCCTAATTAAACCTGAGGGGAGTTTGTAACACACACACACACACACACACACACACACACACACACACACACACACACACACACACACACACACACAGTGTTCTGAGATGTTAATGAAATATTTTCATAAGTTCATTTTTCAACTTGTGGTCACTCTTGGTTCATGATCACCTGCTGCCTCTGTGTCTCTGAAGTTCTTACCTCCTTCAGGCCGTTGTAGGGCCCCAGGGCCGACACCGTGTTGCCCTGCACCATCACATAGCAGTTGGTTAACAGCTCTAACGCCTGGAGAGAAGAGACAGGACGGTCCATTAACAGTGTTACATTGTTCCACAAGCACTCGGATACCGTGGCTGATCAGAGGCAATGCTGCCACCCGGAGGCATTTACAACAAAATGCAGCATCACGACGACAGACACCGACACGGTCCGGTGAACAAACCCAGTAAACACAACACTGAGGCTTTGTTCCCTCCACCAAGGACATTATGTTTTTACTGGGTCTGTTTGTTTGTCAGCAGGATTACACAAAGAGTGCTGAAGGAAGTCGCACTGACCCTGGTGGAGGGACGGGCTGCAGCAGATCTGCATCATTTACCAACAATCTTCTTTCTTTCTATGAATTTTCTGGTGTATGTTGTTTGACATTACTGGAGGTCTGCACAGTTCAGTTCAGATTCATTTCTCTCAATTTATTTGGGTTTAAAATTTATGATGATTCAGAAAGCTCACCTTTAGGGTGGAGCCCTTGGGGCCGATCAGCCGCTGTCTTCTCTTCACAAATCGCTCTCTGTTCCTAACCAGGGTCCCGATTTTGATGATGTCACACGCCATGTCATCCTGTAATATCCGCACAGCCTGGAAGAAAAAAAACACAGTATGAACAGGCAGTTAGATAACCTGATAATCAGAAACCACCACTGATGCTACTGCGGTCGTCAAGCACCAAGAATCTGTCAAAGAAAAGCAGCACAAAACCAAATCTATACATGCCATGCGCTGCGTAATATCCAGGGGAAGTATGAACAAGAGAGTCAACCGACAGCAGTGTCCTCCTGTATGTGAGCACAGAGATCAGTACCTGTTCAAATGGGACACTCCTGGCCAGCAGCTTGATGAGATCTCTGGCTCTGACGATGGCGTACGGGTCAAAGGTTTTCTTAGTGGTGCAGACCGTAATGCTGCCCTCTATCAGGTCCAGAGAGGCTTTTATGTTCTGAGAGAAACATAAATCAACATCACACAGGACTGAAACAACATGAAACAAACACACAACCAATACCTGAACTACACACAGTACAGGCCTGCAACGGACTCTGAGGAGGACAGAGGGTACTGACATAATCCTCCCAGGTTCAGGTCTGTTTTTATTTCCACACCCACACGTGGTGAGGTCAGGATTAAAATATAAACATTATTAAAGGTTAAATGTTACTTTTCAGACTTAATTTCAATATCTTAACTAAATTGATTTCAAAGACTTTTGAAACATTTGTCTGAGTCCTCCTTCATCCCGCATGGCTCAAAAACTAGAATTTAAATATCTTTAACTTTTGTTGAGTAAAACTTAAGTCAACAATAATCACATGACTTAGATCAGACTAAAATATTATTCATCGATCGGCATAAGCGACCAAAGAAATCAAATTCTTAGTGCATGTAAAGGCATTTTGTCCAATACAACTGATTTCGTTTCTGAAGGTTTGTGGTCTGTCTTCATCTCATAGTGGTTGAGGGAAAACTCAGACTCAGTGAACTTACTGCCTCTCCACAAGCCTTCTCCACTAGCGGCCAGCACTCTTTCAGGTAGGCTTCTCTGTACTTGGGGAAGAGGGTGGCGAAGCTGCTCTCCTCCAGGAGACCACGGGGGTTGTCGTCTCTGGTGAACCCCGGCTCCTTCCATCCATCGGGAACAGTCAGGAGATCAGATTCATCCACTGTAAGACACAGACATCAGAACCATCCTCCCTGTGACTCAGACACTGTGTCCTCCATAATAATGTCAGCAGCATTAATCAATACACTAGATTGTAGGTCCTGAGAATCCAGCACCTTGTTATACTGCACTGCGGTCATTCAGTACAGAGCACTGCAGCTTTCAGACAAAGACTTGAGAAGATTTGGAGGTGATTGATTTAAAGCAGTTATTGTGCACATGGTCCATGTTTACTTTTTGAAATGCTAACACCAACAATAACCACAAAGCCGAACAACCTGGAGAGTCTAAACTGTTTATTTCCTGTCGTTTACTTTCGGGATTAATTGATAAAAACATGCAGCAGATGTTTAGACAGCTCGCTCGTTTGTTAGCTTAACGTGCACTCCTGCGTGCTTTCCAACCCACATGACAACAAACAAATTAGCCGACAATATTCAGCCACGTCTCACAGAGAATATATGTCTCGGTGTCAGTTAAGTGCCTCCACCTCAGAAGAATCAATAACTCACCTTGGTTTTTAGTCTTTTTCGATTTTTTCCCTGTTTGTGCTTCACTCACGCCGTCTCCCGTCGTGGAGGACGCCATTATTGCCCGGAAGTGACGCACAGACGTTCTTCTTCGTGTGACTTTGCGTTGCATGGTTGGTACTCAACTACTGCACCGCATTGCTGCCACCTATTGATGTATTATAATTATAAAACACTATAATATGTATTATCATCATGAGTTATAATACATTCTAATGTATTATAATACATTATAATACAAACAATTGCTCAGGATTTCATTATAACAAGATTTCTTTTAGGAACATGTACAGATGCTAATGAAAGTAGGATTTTAAAGGTTGTGAGTTTTCCACAAAATACTCAACACAAACGTGTTAACCTGATACTTCAGATACAATAATTATAAGTATTTGTCACTTTATTGATATTTATTCAATAAAATGTTATATTTTATTCCCGTTATGATGGTCAGCACAGCCCAACACCAATGATAATATACATTTCAGTCTTTGACAGCACTGCAGTGAGCTATATAGACCTACATTTTTTATCATTTATTTGTTCTATGCTTTAATTTCAGAAACAACATGTACATTTCAGTAACTACTGGAAAAACAGAGGTGCTCTTTTTGATCTTTAGTGTATATTCCATGATTTCAGTCTTGCTATTCTATGCCTATGAAATAGTCCTTTACCACTACTTGTACATTTCCCCTAATGATCGATAAATATACATATATAAAAACAAAAAAGGAAATTAATAAATAAAAAATCCTAACAAAAAGAATCATCTCCATCAAAATAATAATTGCGGTGCCATCTGCATGATCCTGTTGTGTAATTTTCAAATTGCTGCGAGCTTACTGCTCTTCTCTCGTTGAGCTTTACTGTTTCATGTGGAGTGCTACGACTGCATCCACCTACTGGAGGTTATTCATGAGAAGAAAAAAAAAAAAAAAAAAGTTAAATAAATATAATTTTCATAAGAATTCTGTCATTTCTGCCTTGTATAGCAGTGAACTGTCTGAAGTACTGACATAAGACATTTATAAATGATGTTTGAAGCATTTTATTGCAGCCGTTCATAGTAAGTCATGATTGCTTTGGCTGCACTCACTGAGAGTACGGTCACTCCCAAGAAGCCTATTGATCCGGCCACAATGCAGATCATTGTCATGTGCTCTGCCCCTGCGAAAGAGATGGAGACAAGTGATTTAACCAAGTCTGTATTCAGATTGCACATAGATACCTGACAGTGAGATGTTTGTTAGGAATTATAATAATAACCAAACTGTATGAGAGAGATTTGGGTTTTTATCAGGATACGATACACTAATTTAAATCAAATAATAATGATCATCTAAAGATACAAAAATCAGTGATAGATTGCATCAAGAAATATTATTCTTAACTTAAAATGATTTTTTTTTTTTTTTTTTATTTAAAAAAAGCATTATTTGAATCAAACTAAAACATACAATGATCGAAATATATAATAAGAGAAAAAGCAAAGGAAGTTACTCTTGTTCCAACTTTTGCTGAGTGGAAAAAATTCTCACAAACCACAATAAATTGTGTGGACATTCATAACCCAAAAACAAAGTGTTCTGGACACACAGACTCACAGTAAGACGGTTGGACTCCTGACTTCACTCTCGTGTTGACCACCAGGGGTCCAGCAGACACTACAGCAGCACGTTTCCCCTCTCTGTCCACAGGGTTCACTGACCTCTTGGGGCGCTGCTGGCTGCTGCAATTCTGCAACACAACCAACAAGCAAAAAGGAGGAACTTAGGATATTTAAAGCAGGGAACGGGTTGGCAGGAGGACATTAAAACACAAAATGGACTAAACCACACAGTATCACATAATCCTATCATATGACCAGGAACTCTGACAAGAATTGAGGCAGTGTAATGTTTCTCCCCTTCTGAGCAAAGATTGCTTAGCCTGTCAGAACATGCAAAACACCAACAAATTTCATCTAAATTATGTGACAATAACATGATTTTTGTCTTTGGATAACAAAAGAAGATAACAGCTACAGATCTTTGAGAGATTTGCTGGAGTTAATCCGAAAAGTCACGGTCACGAGAAGTCACGTTGCTGTCTCCAGGTAATGATACTGGAACTGTTCAGCTTGACCTCACTTACACCTGGCATTCACATGTGATCTGTACCAGGACATCCTGTCTTGATAAAGACGTGCGTTAATGTAGGTGTAAATGCACCCAGAATGCATTGTGACTGAAAAGTAATAAGATAGTTCACACCACATCTAGGAGGTGGTGGCATTTTCTTCTAGACTGTAAGTAAACAGCTGTTAACGCTAACGTTAGCTATATAGAGATAGCAAATCTTAAAAATAGCTTCTTTAATACAAGGTGTAAATGCAAAGACTTGTGGATTGGATACCCAAATACAGATGTTACACGTCACATATTAATACCAGGTGCCAATATGTTAATGAGACAATTGCACATCATTACTGGATCTAATGACCCCTCAAGTTTACCTTGGTACAGTCTTGATCATGCCCACATATGTTGGCCAGGCAGTGAATATAGAGGGGCATCCCTTTGGGCATGGTGAACATCTGAATGGAAAACCTGCTCCTCTGCGCCCGGCCGTTAACAGAGAGCCAGTGGAACGTGTTGTCAACAGGACAGCTTGGGCAAAGAGAGGGTCACATTCATTATCACTGTCAACCATCGCAGCTAAAGCTGTTAAAATATAATACTCACTATAAAGCAACTTAAAAAGGTTTAACTTGAGCTTTGGGTCACCACCTTACAGTTTACAAAAGCAAACACTCTTCACACTGAACTGACGAGTCAGTCCATCAGAGTCACATTTTAAGAATACCCATCCTGCAGAAGAACACCCTGGACAGTGTCCTGTGGGTCGGTGCTCTCAGTGGCCCAGCATGACTCCACCTGCAGCAGCACGTCTGAAGCAAAAGAGTTGTCAGTCTGCAGGTCCACCTGGAGGAACAGCGCGTCTTCAAGACTTAGGGTTATGGCATCCCTGTAACTGTGGGTGTACGACGCGTCACTGTACAGGCCCATGGTCAGGACCAGCTGCAGGGATGAGTTGAACTCCACCAGGGAGAGGGAGGAGAGCCTGCAACACAAGACGGGAAGAATTTGTGTTGTAAAAGAATCACAGTGAATCCTCATTTCTCACATGCTGGTCCTCAAACAAATCTCTGGTTCTGATGTATGTCCTGGAATATGTAACATGATTTGTCTCACCACTCCATGTCCATGCTAACTTGAGCGTTGCGAACATAATGCCGAGGGTAGACGCACTTCCAGATGACTTTTAGATCCCGCCGGCTGATGGTATGCTCTTTGGTCAAGGTCACAATCAAAGTGTTTTGGAATTCGATGTGGGTTTTGTTTACCTAGAAAACAAGACACACACACACACACGTCAGATGCTGCATTGGACCTTGTCAGCTCCTGGTGGCAGCAGACTCCACAGTTCTCTGGAACTGTTCAGAGAGGATGAAGAATTTGATTATCCACAAGTCTTGTTAATATAATTGCACCAAAACACACAATACTCTGATACTCTGACCCTGGAAGGGAAAATGAGTAAGTAGCCTGTTGATAACTTTCCTCCTTCAAAGAGAAATGGCTTGAGTTCATCATATGGCATTTGAGAAAAATGATTTCAGTCTCTTCTGCAATATAAACACAAACGGTAACATTTCAGATTTCTGACATTAGCAGTATAATAATAGTTTTAGCCATGCCTAGTGGTGTGGCTGTAGAAATGGAAATGCCAGTCTGATGGGTGAGTTTAGTGCAGGTATTAATGGTGCCCAAAGCATGACCCCTACTGACTTTGAGGATTTGCAAACATTTCATCCTGCAGCCTCAGCTGTACTTTCTGTTTAGTGCCAATAAGCAGATGTTAGCATGCTAACATTGTAAACTGAGATAGTAAACATGGTAAACATTAGACCTGCTTAACATAGGCAAGTTAGCATTGTCACTGTGAGTGTATTAGCATGCAGATATTAGCATTTAGCTCAAAGCACTGATTGGCACATTGACTCATTTGTTCATATGAAATACAAAAAAAAAAAAAAACTACATTACATACTATGTGACCCCGAGCATACGATCCAGTGATTCCTGTGAATTATATTGTAATGAATTAGTAGTTTTTCAAACACTGGACAAGGAGGTTTAACAATTCTTCTCCAGTAAGTTACAGATTGATGTATTTTTATTTCCTACTTGTAGGATTGTGAAGAATAAAAAAAAAATGTAAAAATCGGTTTAAAAATTGATTCAAATCCAACTTTCTCTGAATGACTCACTCATTGGCAGCTGTAACTTTCATTTCCACTCGTGAATGGCGCTTCTCAGAATCTGTCCATCACATAAACTGACCTTTTATAACCGTTAGCAAAGCGCAGTCACTCACCCGCCTCTCTGTTCCACATTCAGATGATTTTCGTGTCGTGCGAAAGTAATAGAACATCTCACTCTCATCCACGGCGCACCGTCCGTCATTCAACTTCACGTCAACCTTCCCACCGATGTAAGAGCTCAGGTAGGGTTTAGCTATTCCACCAGTCATCAGTCTGTCCAGACACTGGCTGTAAAGGCCTTTCTCTGTTTGAAAACAAGGCTTAGGGTTAGAGAGGCCAGGATCTCACTCAGTGCAGATACAGTTAGTGCAGTGGATGTATTATCACCTGTTGTCACTCATGTCTGTTCATTTGTTGGTTTGTTTGTTGGTGTCAACAGGATTACGCAAAAAGTAGTGAACTGAGTCACACCAAACTTGGTGGAGGGAGGGGGCAGCGGTCAGGGACGAACTCGTTACATTTTGGTGCCAATCCAGCTAAAGGGACAGATCCAGGAACATTCCTGAACATTGCGAGATTGGGTATTTTTCAACACTTTTGTTAATTTCTCAGGAAATAATGTTTGGACAATCTGGTGCAGATCCAGATAATAATCCGCATCTGACAGACGTGTAGGGTTGTTTGGCCTTGGCAGTTCTACTTTGAAGCTCATAATACAGAAACCCAATCTGTATTGTGTGAAATGGAAAAATT